ATCCCATTTTAAAATGCATGATCCATTTAGTCATTTTTTTCTCTGTTTAAAAAAAATATTTCTCTGTATTTATGCTGTTTAGAAATTTAAGCTTAACTAAATTGATAAGTCATTTACCAGTGCATGTCATATAACAGCGATGTGTCATTAATAAGAGAAAAAGAAAAATCTGAATTGTTTTTCTTTACAGAATAGAAATGATGCTATAAGTGTTGGTGTGCTTGTAATTCATTATGTAAATAAACAACTTTAAAAAAGCAAAGTTTTATTTTATATTTACTTTATTAAACAGTTTATACTTTGATGTTAAACATTAGAATCGTTTAATTACTACAAAACTACATTTTAACAGTTATTTAAAGAAAAATTCTACCAATCTTGAATTGTTTTGACACTGAAATTTCATAGATTAATATAATATTTGTACTGTATACTTATAATTGATATTGATTTCATATCATGTTTATGTTTGTCAATTGTCAGGATGGCCATGTTGATGCTGACTACTGGTCCATATATGCAGAATTGCAAACAGTCTACACAGAGATTAATGGAGTTATCGATTGATTTGTAGATGAGTTTGAGAGATGCTTTTAATTGACTTGTGAGCACTAAAATTGGCCTTTCTTTATTGCTAGACTTATTACACCACCATAGGACATCACATTAGCCTTATAAAATCACTTTATTATTTCAAAATGAATGCATTTCGGACCTGAAGTCCCTCATCAGCTTGTACACTAACTATTTTTTACTAGGTGCTTTTAAGTAAAGAATATTGTATTGAGATTACTTTACTGCTTGGTTTTGGTTGCTATGTCATAGGCATTCAATGCCAAGCATGACCTGGTGGTTCCAGGGCATGGAGGATTCAGGAGCTAAAGTGTTCAGAGACGAGTACTAGTTGTCTATTCCTGGAAACTGATGTAAGCCAAAGAAGCATCCAATGGATTGGCCACTTGAACAAGTAATATCCATACAAGATACAACTGCTTGTATTGGTTATACAACATGCATCTGCTGCAACACTTCAGCAAAAGTAATTACAACAAATGGACAGAATGTTCTGAATGGGTGCAGGAAAGACTGCAAACAATGTTGACTTTGGAAAAGACATTCTTTTCTCCAATAACCATAACTGGAGAGATTAACAGATATGACATGATACTACAATGATCCCAATCCTCATTGGATGTGGGCACACAAATGAAGGAAAGCAGTCAGATAATGGCTTACTTTGGGATCAGGGACCACTTAATGGCAATCTAAATGGGATCAGGTGCAGGCACAACTGGAGGTCATGATTATACCTGGTGAATGAGGATATGACTTTCCTGCCTATTTTGAACAAGATGGAGCACCCACCCCATTATGCTAGGATGGTGCATGTTTGGCTGGATTACCAGTTTCTGCATTTCTGGATTAGACAATGTGGTCCCATTGTGGTTTCCACTGTCACCAGACCTGACACCACTAGATTTTTTTCTCTGAAACTATTTGAAAGAGGAAAACCTACCATCGTAGTAGATTTGGGATCCAGATCACTTGAAAGCATGCATTTTAGTTGTATGTACGTACTTATGTAACACATACTATGCTCGGATGTACTGTACATCATGATTGGCAGGAGCATGTGGACAAGTGCATTCAGATGGAAGATGCTCATATCAAACACATGTTATAGTGTAATGCATATTTTTCCATATAATATAAATTTAAAAATTTATATTATATGGAAATTTGTATTGTCAAAATATCTCAAATTTATTTCTCCTTACTCAGTGTCATGCTTTACATATAATAGAATAAATGAAGATCAGCATAATTGTATGGCTCCAAAGTTGTTGGACATCCAGTATATTAAATATTTACTGTAACACAAGAAAACATTTTTCAAGAAATTATGGTAAATTATATAAAGTGTACTGTATATCATCATTAGACTCTGGACGATACTAATTTTAACTTCATGTTTGCTTAAAAACTACTGCAGAGACTAAATGTAAATAAGTATATCAGAGTTCTTTTTATAATATTTGTGATCTTAGATTTATGTTCATAAAGATTTGTATAAATCTTTCAAAGTAATTAATTCATTCTAATATATTAGGAATGTGGAATGGCAAATATTTATTCTACATTGAATTAATGATACAATAGTTAAAAATTAACTTACAATAAATCAGGTTAGAAAACTGTATGTCGATGAAGGTTATAAAGAATCTAAAATGCAATTTAAAATGTATTTTATTAAATTAAAGATTAATTTTTTTTTAAATATTAAAAACATATATATATGTTTTTAATATTTAAAAAAAAATTAATCTTTAATTTAATAAAATACATTTTAAATTGCATTTTAGATTCTTTATAACCTTCATCGACATACAGTTTTCTAACCTGATTTATTGTAAGTTAATTTTTAACTATTGTATCATTAATTCAATGTAGAATAAATATTTGCCATTCCACATTCCTAATATATTAGAATGAATTAATTACTTTGAAAGATTTATACAAATCTTTATGAACATAAATCTAAGATCACAAATATTATAAAAAGAACTCTGATATACTTATTTACATTTAGTCTCTGCAGTAGTTTTTAAGCAAACATGAAGTTAAAATTAGTATCGTCCAGAGTCTAATGATGATATACAGTACACTTTATATAATTTACCATAATTTCTTGAAAAATGTTTTCTTGTGTTACAGTAAATATTTAATATACTGGATGTCCAACAACTTTGGAGCCATACAATTATGCTGATCTTCATTTATTCTATTATATGTAAAGCATGACACTGAGTAAGGAGAAATAAATTTGAGATATTTTGACAATACAAATTTCCATATAATATAAATTTTTAAATTTATATTATATGGAAAAATATGCATTACACTATAACATGTGTTTGATATGAGCATCTTCCATCTGAATGCACTTGTCCACATGCTCCTGCCAATCATGATGTACAGTACATCCGAGCATAGTATGTGTTACATAAGTACGTACATACAACTAAAATGCATGCTTTCAAGTGATCTGGATCCCAAATCTACTACGATGGTAGGTTTTCCTCTTTCAAATAGTTTCAGAGAAAAAAATCTAGTGGTGTCAGGTCTGGTGACAGTGGAAACCACAATGGGACCACATTGTCTAATCCAGAAATGCAGAAACTGGTAATCCAGCCAAACATGCACCATCCTAGCATAATGGGGTGGGTGCTCCATCTTGTTCAAAATAGGCAGGAAAGTCATATCCTCATTCACCAGGTATAATCATGACCTCCAGTTGTGCCTGCACCTGATCCCATTTAGATTGCCATTAAGTGGTCCCTGATCCCAAAGTAAGCCATTATCTGACTGCTTTCCTTCATTTGTGTGCCCACATCCAATGAGGATTGGGATCATTGTAGTATCATGTCATATCTGTTAATCTCTCCAGTTATGGTTATTGGAGAAAAGAATGTCTTTTCCAAAGTCAACATTGTTTGCAGTCTTTCCTGCACCCATTCAGAACATTCTGTCCATTTGTTGTAATTACTTTTGCTGAAGTGTTGCAGCAGATGCATGTTGTATAACCAATACAAGCAGTTGTATCTTGTATGGATATTACTTGTTCAAGTGGCCAATCCATTGGATGCTTCTTTGGCTTACATCAGTTTCCAGGAATAGACAACTAGTACTCGTCTCTGAACACTTTAGCTCCTGAATCCTCCATGCCCTGGAACCACCAGGTCATGCTTGGCATTGAATGCCTATGACATAGCAACCAAAACCAAGCAGTAAAGTAATCTCAATACAATATTCTTTACTTAAAAGCACCTAGTAAAAAATAGTTAGTGTACAAGCTGATGAGGGACTTCAGGTCCGAAATGCATTCATTTTGAAATAATAAAGTGATTTTATAAGGCTAATGTGATGTCCTATGGTGGTGTAATAAGTCTAGCAATAAAGAAAGGCCAATTTTAGTGCTCACAAGTCAATTAAAAGCATCTCTCAAACTCATCTACAAATCAATCGATAACTCCATTAATCTCTGTGTAGACTGTTTGCAATTCTGCATATATGGACCAGTAGTCAGCATCAACATGGCCATCCTGACAATTGACAAACATAAACATGATATGAAATCAATATCAATTATAAGTATACAGTACAAATATTATATTAATCTATGAAATTTCAGTGTCAAAACAATTCAAGATTGGTAGAATTTTTCTTTAAATAACTGTTAAAATGTAGTTTTGTAGTAATTAAACGATTCTAATGTTTAACATCAAAGTATAAACTGTTTAATAAAGTAAATATAAAATAAAACTTTGCTTTTTTAAAGTTGTTTATTTACATAATGAATTACAAGCACACCAACACTTATAGCATCATTTCTATTCTGTAAAGAAAAACAATTCAGATTTTTCTTTTTCTCTTATTAATGACACATCGCTGTTATATGACATGCACTGGTAAATGACTTATCAATTTAGTTAAGCTTAAATTTCTAAACAGCATAAATACAGAGAAATATTTTTTTTAAACAGAGAAAAAAATGACTAAATGGATCATGCATTTTAAAATGGGATCGGTATCGAAAATGAGTTTTATACGCACGGAGAGCAAAAGTAAATTTGCTATGGGAATCGTTTTCTTAATATATTAATAATCCGGACGACATTCTGTACAATTAGAAGAGCTGACAATGCCTAAACAAAAGTAAATGCAATATAGTAAAGTATACAATGTATCAAAACTTATAAAATGGGAGATATATTTTTTTTTTTTACATTTAAGAAAGTATACAGAAATATAAGATGAGTATTTAAGAATGACTTTTCTAACGAAGAGTCGACTCTCTCAATTACAAATTATAAATTTTATGGGACAAATTGTTATGGTCTTTTATGAAAAACTGTATCTTACTTTTATATATATATAATACTATGATGCCATTCTGTGCATATCTGAAACAAAAATAAAACTTACAGATGATGTGAATCTGTTTTTTTTTTTCCATTCCCTCTGAAAAAATTCCTTTTGATTCCAAAACATATAAATCACACCTCATACGTTGAATTAATAGAAGTCTAAGAACTGACATGTAAAGGTGTCACATGCAAGACTACAAATGCCTAGCAATCAAAATGCTTGTAAGAAGTCTGTACATCGCTGGTCTTTCATTTGGATTCGACATTTCGACACGATTCTTCAAGGTCAGGAAGAGAGAGTCCCGGACGAAGGAGCATCATCTGGATACGAATTCCCGTTGTGAATGTAAGATGTTCCGAGACCATACAGATGTCCACAATATTTTGCGTCATCGATGTTATCTTCAAAGAACATCTGTCAAAAAAATATCAACAACACAGATGTTAAAAGCAATACAAGATTTTTATTTCATCTCAAAAAACTTGATCAAACATTAGTGATTTTTTAAATGATTAGAAATGATGTTAAGAATCAGAAATCCTCTTTATTTTTACAAAAAAAAATTTTAAAAAATCTCTAAAATTAATTAAAAAGTGTAAATCGTGTCTCCAAATTATTACTGTATTCTTCAGCATATAGGAAACTACTTTCATCCAAAAAAGACTTGAAAAATTACCCCAAATCATATAAATGAAGTTGTAATCTTCCATAGATGAATGAATTTCCCAAAAGGCCTTCATTAGTCTACAGATAATCTCTACCTGTTGCTCACTGTTGGAAATTTTAATTGTAAGTGATTTCTTTAAACAGTAAAAATATTTAGGACCTAGTGCCAAAAGTGCAGAATGTCTTGATACACTAAATAGTTTATTCTAAATATTCCATGCTGAAATGGGAGTGCATCTTATATGCCATAAAATATATGCATCAATCAACGACATTTTATTTACTTTGTTTGTTTGTCTTTCCATAAAATTTCAGCACCAGAATATAAAGGTTTATATTTTATTATATATATGTGAGTGAGAGAAAACTGAATGAAAAACATCCAAGTAGAAATACAGTAAAAGACTCAGATAAGAAATGTATATACAAACATTAATGAATAGAGCAATCAAAGAGAGGATACAAAAACAATTAGATAAAGTTAATAAAATAATCATTTGCTCTAAACCGGATGTTTGCAACTGGCTTACTGTTTGATGACAAAAAAGTTCTAGTTGTCGTCAAAAAGGAGGATGTATAGTTTGTATTTGTGTTAAATTTTGAGTGCTTTCAAACAATTTTAGTGAAATTAAAGTAAATTTCATCAGTCAAATGCTACATAAAATTTTTCTTTATTCAATAATGAAAATTTAACAACCAATTACTTCAGTTTAAAAAGCAAAACAAATGATTCTGTTAAATTACATGTTATAGAATAACAATCCAACACAGACACACATCAAAAAATGTTTTCCTCTGTAATAAAAATTAGCAAACATTGATTGACTTATAATTTTACTGTGATAAAAAAAAAANTCTGGCAAAGTAAATTAAAGAATGAAGTAAAGAAAAATAATAATAAAAGCTGTTTGAATATCTAATAAATATTAATAAAATAAAACCAGTTTTTGTTGTTTTAGCCTTAACATTTAAATTAGCTTCCTGCGGGTAATTTTCATTAACCCTTTGCAATTTTTAGAAAATGTTAGATGATAATTTTCTTTAATAATGAAAGCAAGAAATAATACGTTTAAGTTTAATAAATTAATCATAAATAGGCCTGGAGTGAGGCTCTGAAAGGCATTTTTAGCGCGGCCCCTGTTATAGAATGGCCTCGAATTTTTGTATTTTATGAGAAAAAATGATAGGAATGTGAAATAAATTAAAGATTCTCTTGATAAGTGGTGAAAAATCTGCCTTGTATTTGTTTTATTGATTTTATTCATATATTTTTATGGCTTTCGGTGAGTGTCAGGCCTCTCATTTGTGATTATCCAGGGCGACATCTCACTTATCTGTATACATTCTAATTAATCTAAATCATCGACTACTCAAAGGATCTATGTGGAAATTTTTTTAAAATTCTACATTTTATTACTTTATTACACCATAAAACATTTTAGAGCCTGTGTAATGTCTAAAATACGCTTTAAGATAAACTATATTTTGCTTTAAATTCATTGAAAACTCTGATATAGCCTACGTTAATACAGTGTATCAAGTACCAAGATGGCAACGATTTTTCAGATTAAAAATCGCTGGATGCAAACAAAATACAAATTACTCGGCATAATTAGGACACAACATGAAAATTCCAAGCTCTTTTACACGTGTAGTAAAGAAACAGATGACATACAAACCAGTAAAATCATGGCGACGTGCAAACTGTACGCAGAAATCTAATAGAAATCCATTCAGAAACTGAAATCTCTGCAAAGGATTCAATAAATGGAACTGTAATCCATTATCTGCGTGTTGCATTGTGTGATTACTGTATTAATTATTCTCTGTACTTAAGAGTTTTGCAGCAAAATCTACAGAGAGTTGCAGAGGAACTCCTCATTCAGTTTCTTAAAAAAAATGGCGGTTGTTTTTTTTTTTTTTGCTGTCTTTTTAAAGCTGAATGAGTAGTTCCTGTGCAACTTAACATACTTGAAATACAGGAAGAAATTTCTAAAATCAGATAAGAAAATGCTCGCATCAAACAAATCTCACTGGGCTGTAACGTATCTCTGCAACTTGTCATTCTCCTTGATTTAGGAGTAAGATTAAAAACTTATCCTTCTTTAAGATAACAGCAACAGTAAAGGCAAGACATTTAAAAGCTAGAATCCTGTATTCTAGAATTCAATAACTGTCTTGATTATTCCTTTTCAATCATTGATTTAAAGTATACTTGGTTTACTTCTATTGAAATTTTAATGCATGAATGATGAGAATATAAATCATGTTCTAGTTGCTTTGTATGAAATTAAATTTATTCGAGTATAAAATGGGAATAAACAGGGATGTGTCAGAATGTTACGATATGAATAAAATACTAAATTATACGTAGAAAAATGGCAGAAATGTCGAATTTATTCTCCAACACTTCAGGAATTATTTGCGCCTTATACAAGGATAATTGAATTTTGTACGCTCTTCGAGCACCTGAAGCAACACGTAAATGTTTCAAGCAGCTACTGTCTTTGCTATAAACGCTTGTTTTACGTAATTTAAATTTATTTATAGTGTGATTTATACTTTACATCGCTTAGCATTAATTAAATGTTGCATAAGATAGCGAGGAAAGTGAAAGGTTGCAAAGGAAAACAATGGAGTTTAGCTTACAAGTATGACATTAATAGGAAACTGCGTAAGAAAGTGCTTGTTTCTACGCATGCAACAGTTACTTATCGTTTCGGCATTAAACAGAAGCTGCATAAGAAAATGTGTACTTCTATGCAACAATGCATGCAACCGTTACTTATTATTTCAATGTAGCTTGCGGGTTTGACATTAATTACATGTTGCATAAGAAACTGCATGCCTGTATGCAACATTAGACGTAACACCTGTTTTACTCGGAAGAATAACTATGCAAGTACTCGACTTTTCCCACGTAAAGTACTCCTTAAAAACACATTTCTACAGCTACCCGAACGTATGGCATTCCGTCCCGGTGGGGCATCTCTCCCGAATTTATCCATTAAGAAAAATTTTGGCCAACATAAATTTCTCCATAAAAATCTACTATATAATTTACGAGAAGCGCTGTGAATGATATCCAACCATAAATCTCCACACAATTACTATGTCCTAAAGTAAACTACGAGCTAATTGGCCGTACGGGATCGGTCACATAAAAACGTTAATGACCGTTAGGAGTCGTCGGCGATCACGTGAGTCGCGCAACAATGCCGTCGCTGGCCGGATCACGTGACTCGGCAACTGACGTAAACGATTACACCGCAAATTTAACGGCCGTTAATAAGCGTTGCCGTTAAAATGGCGTTATCTGACCAATATATATATATATNTTTCTCAAATAATAATAAATTAAATAACAGTAAAAAATAAAATGTTATTTAATATTTGTAAATTATTACTACTTGCATATTTTCAAAAGAGAAAAAATGATAGTTATTACTATTATTTCTGTTTGAATATATTGAATAAATGTGGGTAAATGCCACATGATGACAGGGATATGTTCGAAGCAATTATAGAGTGTACTTAAATTTTATATTGTCTACTCTACTACTTATATAGGCAGCTATGAATTTATCATCTTTATTATAATCTTATAGTACCTCTAATGTATATGCAGACCATCATTAAGTAGCACATCACTGTTAACAATTAACTATAAAGATTATAATTACCTCTCTCATTTTAAAAAATGATGCACCAGTTATCAAACTGTCGCTTCCTGCTTGATGTTGGGGTCCTATCCTTTCAAGCTAAACAAACAATAATAATATAATTACTTCCAAACAAAGACATATTCATAACTTAATTAATGAAATTATTTCAAAAGCTATATAAATATAATTTAACAAAGTAAACAAATGTTAAAAGCTTAACGGGCTCAAAGATTTATTCATGATTAAATATTTTTCGAGATGTTTTACATCATCTACAAATCGTCATTAATACATTCAATTTAAAGATTATTCTTTATTTGAAAGTTCTTAGCATTTGTTGACATTGTTAATTAAAGATAAAGTTGTTTATTACTTAGGAAATAAATTATTAGTTTATTTATTTTCGGAAAGATGCTAATTATTAGAGTTTAAAATGAAAATTTTTGTAATAGAATAAATACTTTAAAGACATCAATTCATCTTTACATCATAAACAAAATCTGTAGATAAATTATAATCTTCCTTACTGTATTTTAATCTGAGAATGTAAATGCATGTTTCATTAAAGAATCTTAAAGCTAATAGATTTAATATTTCACAGTTTATTTGGCATTAAAATAAAATTATATCTTCATTCTTACAAATCAAGAATGCAGACATTTATCATTATTAATTAAATATTTTGATATAACTTCATCATTAATACTCTAATTGAATTCTCGAATATCTCAAACAAATCACAACAGAATAACAATTTCAATAACTGTCTCTTTATACAATAATATCTTTATCAACTCAGTCATCTGGCCAACTACTAAAAGAGCTGTAATTATGTAATTTCATATCTATGATAAGATGAAAGTGCATTATCAGTATATTTTAACAGTAAAGTATCTTTGCAAAATAGGAAAATTCATAAATAACATAAAAAAAGCTTCTTGTTTTAATATTATAATGGTACAGTAAGAACAGCAGACATATTGGGTGAACAGTAAAGTCCTTATGTATCCATGTAACTGACAAATGCAGATAGCTACAGTTATGATGATGATTTACAGTTATGGTAAAGTGACTATGTGCTACGAGACAAGACTGTTTGCAGTGCTTCTAGGGATAAAATTCACAATTTAGCACTCTAATTTCACAAACAATGAACAATATGGAAAAAAGTCAATTACAAAGTTGTAGAGTATGACTGATTTAGTACAAAAGGACATCCTGCATACGTAAATAGTACGAATAGAAAGGACAAAACGCTAACTTGCACATCAAGCACAGATGGTAAAACATGTATTTCTCATGTGTTTATTTATAACATGTCCATTTCTCATTTTCCTGCATACTTGTTGCATTCATTACTGTGTGTTGTATGTCGTGCATTGGCGTATAGGGACTTTACTAAGCACCCTGTATAATCATTTATTAAGTAATTAAAACATCTGAAAAAACAAAAACCCTTGTGCCAATAAACCCAACTAACAATTCTTGTTTTATTTTCTTTCATCTTTATCAGGTTTAAAATTTTAAATTAAAATACTTTTTAAATTCACTTTAAAACCTTTCAATTTATTTAATATCTTATAAAATAAATCATTATTATTAAACACACAGGAAAGTAGAATTTACAAACTTTAATTTTAAAACTTATTCTAATCAATCACTGAATATTCAACAACTGAAACTGCATGGTTTGCTATACTACTGTTGAATATTCAATACATAGAAATTTGAAAGCTCCATGGATTANTCGGAATTCAAACTATCAAATTTATCTTGGATTAATTCATATATCGATTTAAGTGAGTATTCAGGTTCAATAGTCTTTGTTAGTAAATCTTCTTCCGGTTCGAAGAAGTCTTTTATTGTAGCATACTTCGAGATATCAGTAGTACTCTTGGAGTGTTCCTCAATTAAATATTCCTCTTCTGACATTTCGCTTGTCTGATTATTTTCTTCTATATTTCTTGTATGCTCTCTACGTGGTCTCCCTCGTCCCCTTTTTTGCATAACTGCTTGACTTGGTATTGGAGGAGATCGAGGGAAAGGTCCGGGATTTAACTCAATGCCAGCAATCATTAGTAGAATAAAAATTATTATTCGAGTTAATGAAACATTTAAACAACTTATTTCAGTTCTACACTTAATATTCCGTTGTAAAAAATCCATGTCTAACGTCGCCATAACAGCTCAGCAAAAAAAGTCACCAACACCTCCGCAGGCTAGACCTAATGGTGGTATGTGGTAACTAGGTAGCAGTCTCTGACAGTATTTTTCATAATAAATCCTTCTACTTTAAATATTTTATCATAAAAAACATGCAAGGCTGCAAAGGCACAAGAGGTTATAAACTATAAAGGTATAACGGTGTTAAGTTTTAATTCCCAGCATTAATCTGAGGTACCACTATTAACGGACTGCATTTGCAAATCTTACCTTATTATTTTTCATCATACAACATGGTTAGTGCAAAAAAATCATGATGATGATGATGAATCTTTATATAGTATACAGAATATTAAATTATTCAAGACAGAATTCCCAATATTTTTTTTATATATAGGAATTTTTATATTAATTGTAACATATTGAGAATTTTGAGAATATAAGAATAAATTTTTTAAAATAAATTTTATCAATACCTTAAAAATATTAATCTATTGATCTTTTCTGATATATATATATTAATATATAAACACAAACTGATGTAGCATGCGAACAATCCCCACTTCCGTTTTCTTAGTCACTCGTTATGCAAAACGTCGCTCGTTAAGCGAGTCACTTTTAGAATTTGCTTTTCTCGTTACGTGAATTACTCATTATGAGAGTGGAACCTCGTTAAGCGAAGTTCCACTGTATCGCGAAGGGTCACATGTAGACGTGCGGTTCCTTTCATTTTTTTGCTCCTATGTATAGGCTCTACGGCTCTGTTAAGTTCTCAACAGTGTCATTCACATCTGCAATTGTACCCAGTTAGAACGTTCGGTTTGGTGTCATTTATCCATTCTGCACTTTGGCACCAATTTGCTTTTCTTCACGTATACCCAAGAAACCTAAATAATCTAACATCCTAAGATTTACTTTTACCATTTGGTGCCACGCAATAACCCATTCTTTCACTTTTTGAACACTTGAATATAGCTGACCCACAGGAACTCGTATGATGTATACTCTATCGATAAGCCCCCAAATGACCGCTGTCACCAGGGGCGGATCTACA